GATAATAGCTTGTAGTTTTGAGCCAACAAATTGTATTCAGATAAGATATTTCTATTTCTCAAAGGCTAAACTAAAGGCCTAGTTTGTTACGTGGACTCTTTGTGTGCCTGAATAAAAAAATTAAATAAATAAAGTGTATAGGTGATGATGGCAAATATACAATTTAAAGCATGCTAAAAACGTGTTGAACAACTTTAAATTAGAATAAATGACTATAAAACATACACTTTTCTTCAATACGTGTTATGTTTCAATACATAATCAGTTATTATCAATGGTGTATTTTCTGTCTTGATTTAAAAATGTAGCTTATTTAACATAATTCAAGCATGCGAACATACAATGTGCTGTAGTGCTTCTTCAGTATCCACACGATCAGATAACGGACCCCATTCTGGAGCACTTTCCGTTTCCTTGTCAAGCCCCTATAAACCATCTGAGCATGTCATTTTAATTCAGATTTAATGCTTTTGTAGAATGACGGTGGCCTGTTACACTAAATTGAACCGACATGGAGCTGATCTAGAAAATCAATGAATCTATGCGGCGGGCTCACATCCTATACACATGTTAATATAACGGGACAAACACCCATGTCCCATAAAGTGAGATGTTTGGAGGAAATTGGACAGCGGTGACTTTAACAGCGCCTGACATAAGTAAAAGTGCAGTGCAGCGGAAATGCGTGACACGGAGGCTCTGAAGGAAGCCTCAGCTGGAGACAAAAGCAGAGAGGTGGTGGGACGGGGGGGAGGGGTCTGTCTGAAAGGCCGTTGTGGTTGGCAGCCGCTGACCTTGGTGACGATGGGTTTTCACCAGAGGTTTCTAATGAAGGCTGATTGCCCGGGAATGGTGAGGCAGTCCTGGGTGAGGGAGAGGGAGCCGGACATAGGAGAGGCCAGGTAATTGCAGCACTTGTGGCTCTGAGGCCCCTGTGAGGTTGGGGTGCAGTGGGAGACAAGAGAGATGTCTTTGGTGGTAAATTGTGGAGCTCTGGGATAGAAGGCCGACCCCTAGGCTGTAATTACCCCTACGAGTGAGCGCAGGAGAGTGGACAGACCCAGTGTGGCGCTCTGACAGCGAGCAAGGAGACGCCGGAGACGGGGCACGGGGACAGATGGACAGCAGGGGGCCGAGGAGAGGGACCCCAAAAGCAGCTGGACAGACACGGCAGCAAGGTCAGAGGCTGTTAAAGAGGACATGACATGAAGGGACAGGAGAATGAGGGGCTGAGGGAGGGTAAATAAGAAAATACTGCCCTACAAGACATGAAATAATGTGTCCAATTGTGTCCAAAAGACTGAGGCAAAGACCGCAATTACTTAAGATAAGCAGCACATAATTTAAATTTGGGATTTGAGATTATATTCAAAGATTTGTCAATGGAAAGGTTAGAACTTTTTTTTCTGTAATCCTTTCATATTGACACTCTCTTGAAGTTTTACTCCTGCAGGATATCAAAAATGGCGTTGAAACCACAATGTCGGTCAGAAATATTGCAATTATACATTTTGCCATAATCTTGCAGCCTTGGAAACGACTTATAGTTCACAAAACAAGCACATTCACATCCAGAGACTGTATGCAAAGGACACATAATGTAAGTAGTGTCTCCTTGTGTTATTAGCTTGGCACGGGGGAGATGCTGGTGCCCCACTGGGAGGCGTAGAGGCGTCGGAGGGGGGTGTCTTACCATCCCAACCAGAATAAGAGCCAGGCCTAAGCTCCCACTGCCACGGATCAGTATGTGCCGGCGCTCCCCTTGCTGCCTGGGCTGATGTAACTCACTGGAGTGGCAAATTACACCAGACCTACAGCTGTAGCCCGACATTATGATTAATTTGATCAGTAATTTCTCCTGTTTTTCATTTTAATCGCCGCAACCATTCTGCTGTGGCAGGTCTTTCAGATCTAATTAAGATCAATTCCGGTGTAACAGACTTGGCGAGCGCTTTTACCCCGTCAAATCCCCGAGCTCTCCGGGCGTGGAGAAAAGCCACAAGCTCTAATCAATCAGCTCCTGGTGAAATCCTGCGGGCGCCCACAATCAGCCCATTAACACACTTAAGCAAATTTCATAATCTGCTCTTGTCTATTTGTCATCACCGCTGTGGCTATTTCAGGAGACCGGAGCGACCACACTGTACCAGCAGCAGAGAGAGCAGAGGTTACTTTCTCACTATAATCAAGCAAATTAGTCGCGGTAATCTGGCTTCGTTCATTGACTCAAAGGGACAGGTCTTTTGTTGTATGATCTGTGTACTAATATGGATATTAATGAGGAGCTAATGAGTGCAGAATGAAACAGGCAACACGTCAGACACAGGGGATGTAATGAATGCCAGGGATTTCTCAGTGCGAGTTAACAAAGAGTATCGCAAAGAGTCCCGTGAGAGCAGAATTACAATAGGACATTAATTGGAACATAATGAGTGTTGTCTTTGAGCTGCGTTGGCCACAAATAGATGAATGGTTGGTTAATTCTGCATGCTGGAATTATGAAAGGGAAATGGGAGTGTTATCATCGTTATGTTAATTTTATTATGGTAATTAAAGCTTGACTTTCTTCCAAAGACCCATTCCTCTGGGTAAATTGTTGAAATACTGAAACACCCACCTGTGTCTTTAATTAAGGCATCAAAAGGAATCGTAGCATAAGCCAACGGTAAAAGAGATGGAAAGTTTGTTAAAATTGAAATATATGTACTTTTGGGGTAGTTTTGAAGTGCTAGTCCACAACTGCAGTTATGACAGCTTATATGTACATACTGTCTACCATGTTAATCTCTCTTAACCTCTCTAAAAACTAAACTGTGCTTATGTGTTGTCTGAGTGTGTGTGTGTGTTTTGTTTAGTCTGTCTCACAACATACAGTATGTGGTAGTGTATTCTACTGCATGATATTATTACTGCATTGTACTGTGTGGTGTGTGTGATGAGGGTTCAAATCCAAATTTCTTTTAGCCAAGCCCTTTTTCAACCATGTACTTGTTATCTGTCTGTTACATTGATATATGTGAAGGTAAGGTGTTGTGCACAATCAAAATAAAAGAATCTATATTATCCAAATTGCAGTAAAATCAAGGTCCAGACAATGAACAAGTTTGGATTCCACCTCCACTGCTCAGGTCCCTGTTGTTTAGCTATGTGCTATGTGAGTCTGAACAACAAGACAGAAGTTATTTGCAATGTCAGCATATCTAAAACCACCCATCCCATGATCCTCTTTCGTTGAATAGAATTTAAGGTGACTTTGATGAAAAATTAGGATTGGGTTAGTTTCGATATCCTACTGTTTTTGCCATATCACCCAGTCCTCCCTAAAACGAAAAAGGCCACTTACAAGGGTATAAGTTAGATGTCAATGTCACACCACACTTTAAGCCTTAATGGAGCATTACCGCTATCATTTTTAAAGGATTGTATTAATAGTTATGGATGGACTGAGTAAACAGAGTCAAGGCATTAGCAGTGGCTGCACCTGCTGTTTAAATCCTATTGAGAAAGAGTGTTGGGGGTGGTGGCCTGTCCTTGGCAAGGCCCTTCTGTGTGACACTCTACAGCACTGACCCGGAGAAACTAAACCTTTTACGGCCATTCTGCTAGAGCCACACACATTCCATAATCCCATTTGATAAGGCAATATCTTAATGATACCTGATGTGCCCCTTCATCCCCTCAAAGGTCTGTCCTCAGTCATCATAATCAATCTGCTGCTTCTTTTAGAGAAGCCGAGCTATTTAGTCAAGGGCCTCCGCCTCCAGCAGGTCTGGCCAATGTGTGAGGATCACATGTAAGACTACCCTGACCTTTCAAATCATATCTTATTCTATTTTGAAGAATTTGGTCTTCAAATAAGTATCTTTTATGTGTAGAAGCATTTGAGAGGGTCAGGTAGATTGTGAATACTTGAAAAGGAAAATATCCAAATATTGTACAGTAAACAACATTTGTAATTATCCTCTGATACAAGCCAAATATGTGAATGACATTGATTCCTCACACTCATCACGAGGTCAGACTGGACAGTGAGGTTGTGGCTATAGCCTTTGGAGCCCATTACAGCAGGGGCTGTTTTTCCTGCTGAGTCTCAGTAGGCCGTGACAGGGCCGGAGAGGGCTGCAAGGGAGGAAACAAATAGCCCAACTCATCCCGGCCATAAAGAAGGTTGCACCACAACCCAATAAGGGCCTGACGCTGATGAATGTGACCGGGGACAGAAAGGCGACCCTGCCCGGTCTCCTCCAGAAATGAAACCACAGGGATATAAAATAGGTTATTATCGGTACACAATGACAGGCGGACGAACAGAGGCCAAAGATGGACTGATAGACAAAAGCAGGTTGATTAGGAACACAGAGATAATACAGAGGGATCCCTAGGTCAAAGAAAGCGTCTAGAAATCTTCCTCAGCATGACGTGAATACAGCTCAGTGCTCAATAATGTCAATGCTTTCAGGTACAAATAGATATTCAGAAAGATTTGCACAGAGCCAGTGCTGCCCGAGTCCATTTAAATATTTCCACTAGATAGAATAGTGACAGTGTATCAAGAGCTGTGTATACAGTATATCTTTGAAGGTTGATCTGAATCACAAAGTATGAAAAACCAATTTGTGATTGTTAGCTACACTGGGCTGTTACACTTCAGGGCTTTAAAATAAGAATGACTTCATGTTAAAATATGTTCATTGGTGACTGGGTTTTGTACTCATCTGAAAGACTGAGATTTGTAAAGGTAGTGATATTTGAATGTGGGCTTTCTTAAAAAAGGCATTTGGGCATTTAAACCAGCCTGTTGGACTATGTGCTTGGATATTTGAACCACTCTTAAATAGAATTCTTGAACAACATTAGATTCCAAGCCAGATGTGACAAACGAACAAGGCTACTCATGATTTCAAAGAGAATCAAAATACAAAAGTGAAATTTGAATGTTAGTATGCTGATACTTTATAAACAGTTTAAGAATCAGAAAAACCGGAGTGTAAGGTACATACCGGCAAAGACATGGGTGGGGTGACAGGTGACGGCAAGCTGCGGGCGGGGGACTGGTTGGGCCGGTGTGGGGGGGACTGATGAGGCTGTCCGCTGGAGGAGCATGTGGAGCCCGGGGAGGGGACAGAGGTCTGCTGGTTGGGGGGAGTCATGCGGTGCTGGTGGGGCAGCTGGTTGTGGCTGTGGCTGTGGCTGTGGCTCTGCTGCTGCTGCTGCTGCTGCTGCATCTGTTGGAGTTGCTGGAGGTGCTGGAGCTGGGAGTTGAGTGATGAGGTAGCTGTGAATCAAACGGTGTCTACATTAATACAGTGTATATTAGTGCACAGAGAAGCATATAGAAAGCCTTTTCATGACTCTTGAATATTACACCTCGTGCAGGATAACAGGTGTGCAGTACACAGGCAGAGTTCTGTGGGAAACATGTAAATTGCATAGTTCCACAACAAGGTCCTGTAGAGTTTCTCTTCTGAGAGTCAGTGAATTTCAAATAAGTAGTTGGAGGACAAAGCTATCAAGTCTGATGGACATAATTGCTTTTTACGGAGCCAAAAATCTTCATTGTCACTTGGAAAGAACAAGAATATTGGTTTAATGGATGAAAATCTTACAGCAAGAAGACATCCATCTATGCTGCAAGACTTCTGAAATAAACGCATTAACTAATTGGATCCAATAATGGCATACCATTAGAACCTAATTTCTACATTTAACTGCTTGTAAATTTTTATGCCATTCTGAAAAAAAGTTACAGCTCTCCCTGAGAGCAGATGAATATGAGGTTGCATGCAAATTACCCAAAGTTAGTTCAGGCATAAAATACAGAGTGGTGGGAACACTGTGTTGTGGTGTTATAATATTGTGTGTATTCACTGAAATTATGTAGTCTCAAATTATCACAAAACTAAATGTATGACACTGTCAAGTCCAAATGCTTCCAAAAAAATGTTTGGAATAATAAAAGTACAAAAAAAACAACATTTAAATTTATTTTTGTATAGCCCTAAATCGCAACAGTAGTGATCTCGGAGGACTTTCATTGGCATAGAGCCACATAGAGCCACATAGAGCCACATAGACACATAGAGCCATTAGTCCATAAGGGGCAGTTGACCAATGTCCATACATGTTGATTAAGTCCATACATTTGAAAAGTTAACAGTTTTTAAATATATAATAATAATAAAGAATAATAATAATAATAATCAAATATATGTCATTATTGATTAAGGGCTGTCTTTTAAAGAACGTGTCTCCACATTGGTTTGAAAAGTTGTTTTATACCTATTTGTAGCAGCAACATTCTTACCATTGATTGATTATGAAGCCGTTATTTGTATGTCACGTGTATGAACGCAGTGTATCTTTGTGCTTTGAGGTTTGCGTCGGGGTGAAGCCGCCTCACACATCACTGAGAGCTGAACGCCAAAGCTCAGTGGCCTTCACTAACAACGAGAAGGAAAACCCGCTGGATGCGTTTGGTTTACAAAGCTCTTCTTGGAAAAAATACTCCAGAGAACCTCGAGCCACGACTGTTAGTGCTAAAAGGACATCATCCACCTACATGTTCCTCGTGTTCAGACTGAAATGAGAAAACAAGGATTATGTTTTTCTGCTCCTTCTTCTTGGAACACTCTTTTGTTGGGAAACAAATGGACTGAACTGGTTTTTATGATTTTGATTGTGAGCCTTTTAATTATCTTATTCTATTGGTGTTCCACTTTATATTTAAACTGTTTCAATGTGATTTCATGTTTTGTGTTGACGTTGAAGTGTGCTGATCTCTTGACCAGGTTCCCCCCTGCAAAAAAAAGTTAAATAAACCAACAATAATTATAAAGAAAACAAGAAAAGACGTTTTTATTGGTAAAAACTCCAACGAAAACTTAGTTGTAAAGGCTTTGACCTCCATAATAACAGGTCGGACACAACTCACCACCAAGTTGACACAACTGTTTGAGTAAAAGCAAAACGTTGTGGCAAAGGAAAAAGTGTGACTGTGGCGGCCAGAGCGGTGAATAGGCTGTAAACATGTGTGCCTGTGTCTGTATGGGGCTGAATGGCTGGCCATCAACACTGTTACAATACCACATAGAATGTTTATGCTCTGAGGAGGAGTAGCAATGTAAAAACATAATTGTCCAACTGCGATTCATCCAAAGCGCTCAGAACCTTGTTTGACCGAGGACTGGTAAATATCTACAGAACAGCAGCTACGCTATAGTAAACTGAGAGAACACAGAAGGGGACATGCTAGTATACATACTGGATCAATGTGGCTAAATAATGAATGTATAGTTGTCTCATAAAAGATGAATGAAACAACAGGAGAGGTGTCTCCTTGATTAGGATGGTCACTCTGAGTCTGATGGTCATATATGAAGATTTGATGAAGACTAGATCTTTCTCGCTCTCATGAAACACAGTAGAAGGCTGCACGCTGCTCTGGGCCCGTAAACAGCACATTTTTACATTCTTCTACCTCCTGACACATTGACACTGCTCTCACACCCCCACCATGAATTATATATCATCTGGGCCAACGCCAAGAGTCCAATTCTAACTTGAAATGTTGGGGCAAGTTGTCTGCAAATGCTCAGCCTCTGACAGGACCCACTCCGATCCTTCGCAACTTTTTCACGACAAAATGTTCAGCCTCACCAAAAAAAAATGGAACAAAGACAAGAAAACAAAAGAAGGGGCCGAAATGAGATTTCTGTCAAAAATTATCTAAACCCGGATAAGATCAAAGACAATTGGAGAATTTCCTCCAGCACCAGCCATTACGCTGAGGAACAAGCAGCACAACAAAGAATATGAAGCAAAAGAAAACAAATACAGAGGGAATATGGAGGAAGCCCCATGTGGCCTTATTATAAGGGCTACACCGCAGGTAACTATATTCTTTAACAGCAGTGCTTTATAAATTCTGTCATCTTGTTAAGACTGTCAGGACCACTGACCCTCCCTTCGCCTCTAACTGGGCAACTGGCATTTTGAAGCTCATTTTTTTAACCACAGCTGTCTGATTGCTTTGCTTGAGCACATAATCCAAACAGCTTGTCTCGACTAATTGTTTGTGCTCCTTCCTCCAGCAGACACAAGGCTGACGATGAGAGTGGAGCTTCACTTATGATGGAGCGAGGCCAAAAAGAGTCCGCGATCCTATACTCCTCATTATATCTCCCTCTGTCTCAATGTTGCCTTTCGTATTCACTGGTCCCCAACTGCGATACAAGCACTTCTGCCACTTACTCACATGCCTGCAGGGCAGGGTCCCAGTACTGCTGCTGTCACAGCACGCCCATGTTTATGTTTATAATGAGCAATAAGACTATGCTGCTAAAAGATCCGACACAATATGAGCCTGAGCATTAAAATCACCATTTAAACATTTAACAACAAACAGGAGAGCGAATCAAACATGAGCTCTCCAACCCCGTCTGCCGTCTCTCTTCTAGTTTGCTTTGTTCCATTCCTTGGTGGCACAGAAGAAATCAACTGTTATCTTTGACTGTCCCGGCTGCTGAAGCAGTGAAGGACGAGTCAGACTGATTGTCAGAGGTCGAAAGGCGAGGTCAGAAGCGGCTCATTCGTCAGACAAAATGCTATTTTTGTTTCTTGCGGTTCAGAAGTGTGGGGGAACACGTCTGCTCTCTCATTACCAGCTTTTTCTAGTTCTCTTCAAGGGCTGGATTAGTACGTTTGTTTTTATTTTCCTTTTGCATAGGAGAGTTTTTGTCTATGTTAATGTGACATGTACAGCTTTAGGCAAAGAAAGGTTGGTCAATACGGCAAAATAGTTGAAGCTCTTTCAGATGATTACAATTTCCAACCAATTTAAATCAAGTCACCAAACTGTTTGGTGACCTCAATATTTTAATTTCAAATAGATATATTTTATTTTCCATCCCAAATGATCATAAAAGTATTTTACAGGTGCTGAAGTGATGAATATTGTCATATAATCTGAAAGAATCATAAGTAAATGATGGTCATAGGAATGGCAGTAAAGTATCGTCCCGAATAGAAGGAGTTTTGAGGAGAGAACAAACAGATTGTGCAGCTGTTCCTCCGTCGTGCTGTGGGAGTCCATAAAGCACTGTCTCAATTGCCTTTTCAGTGAGTCACACTGATAATTACTCCTCTGGAGGTAAGGAGATTTAAACTCTATGAGATCTGGTAATTATGAAGGTGGTCAAAGGAAGGTCATTTGTCCTCGGTAGATTAGATGGAGCACTTCCATACTGATGAAGTGGATAGCATCAGTGCAGATGCTAACCTCCATCAGCACTGGGCACTCATCACACCACAGGCCTCAGACTCGCACATTAACTGTGATTAGAACTGCTCGTCAGATGGCGTTCTCAGTACATTCACTGATCAAATGTTCAGTTTTGCTGCTAAAGTATCATCTGTAATAAACTGTAACCATACATTAGATTACTTTTTATGCATACCTTAATATGTATTTTTGTCATTACTTGATCGCACCTTATGCCAAAGAAAATGTCTAGTTTGTGACTTTCTGTTTAAACACAGCATAAGATGCTTCAATGGACATAGCAAATGTTATATTCCAAATGAATGCTGCTGTGTGGAACTGAAGTAAGATGCAGAATAAATAGTACAAACAGGATCCAATATGTGACTGAATAAAAACATTTTTCGGAGCGCAGCAGGCAGTGCAAGTATCTAAGCGCTCGGGCAATACAGGCAGTTAAGGAGTGAAAGGAGTAACACAGCCATAGGATTTGAGAGTAAACCACATTGCTTGTAGGGATCCAGAGATAATGCTTTTACTTTGTGATGCAAGAAAACATCAAGCTGTGTTGTAGAATTCGCACTCTAGGGGAAGCATTTTAAAGAATCAAATCCCCGACATGGAGATATCACACCAATGAGACGATCCCTGTGTACTTGATAATGTTGTTCTTTTAGTGTTGCCTATGCTATTTTGTTGATTATTAAAGGGGAGACCAACAGGCGGCCTTGAGCTTCTATGGGGCACCAGCGATATATGACTTTTCCTTTTGATTCACTTATCTGAGTAAACTGTGTTATGAATCAAGCCTATCAAACACACACTGTAAATATAAGTTTCAATAAGCATTTTATTGGGCCTTATTTTTGTACATATTTTTTTGTCAAATGTGCCATATTTTTCCTTCCTTTTATCTACAATACTCTGTGTACGAGGAAATTGTCTTGAGTTGTCTTGGGTCGTATGGAGGCACTGGACAGCTCTCCCTGAGACCGTCTGCCCGGTAGCACACAGCA